CTTGATACAATCCCCAGTCCTAGCAATAGCCGATCAGGACAGGCCATTTCATGTGGTCTGTGATGCCAGCGATTTCGCAATCGGCTGTGCATTAATGCAGTACGACCTTGAAGGCGTTGAACGCGTCGTCTGCTATCAGTCGCGTCAGCTGCAACCAGCTGAGCGGAACTATCCAGTGCATGACAAGGAACTCCTTGCCATGAAGTATGCACTCGCGAAGTTCAGAGTCTATCTATTAGGAGATAGACCCTTCGTTGTTTACACTGACCATGCGTCCTTACGCACGGCAGTGAACAGCCCGCACCTTTCACAACGAATGGCGCGGTGGTTGTCATTCTTTGCAGAATACAACTTTACGGTCGAGTACAAACCAGGACGACTTAATGTCGTCGCTGATGCACTCTCACGTCGTCCCGACTTTGAAACAGTCGCGAAACCCAACAGTGAGACAGTCACTGTTGCGGTTATGACGTCCTCAGTTCCATCTACAACGTTGTATGATGATGTGAGGCGGGCATACGCCCAAGATGGTGAGATAGTGAAGTTGTTGTCACATCTCTCCCAACCATCTCGAGAATCGTTGAAACGATTGTCGTCTGCGTATCGATCTGCATCAGATCGATACACTACTCGTAACGGTTTACTGTATTATACAGCCGTTTCTGGTGACACACCACGTGTTGTCATTCCAGATGATACTGATCTGCGTTTGCGGATCATGTTCGAGTATCACGATGCTCCTATAGGAGGACATCGTGGCCGAGAGAAAACATATCTCACGGTAAGTCGAGACTTTTACTGGCCCCGCCAGTATCAGTTTGTGCGAAAGTATGTTCGCGCATGCGAAGTCTGCCAACGAGTGAAGTCAAGTCCTTCACTGCGTGCACCTTTACAGCCTCTACCGGTTCCGGCTGAGTGCTGGGAATCCATCTCAATGGATTTCGTCTTCGGGTTACCCAAAGACGCACGCGGGAATACGGGTATTCTCGTATTTGTTGACAGATTCAGCAAAATGGTACACCTTGTGGCTGTACCAGAGACAATCACGGCAAGTGGCTGTGCTTGTGTCTTTATTGACACCATCTTCCGACTTCATGGGTTGCCCCGTGAACTCGTATCAGACAGAGATCCACGATTCACTGCTGATTTCTGGCGTTCCGTGTTCAAATCACTCGGAACGCGCTTGAAGATGTCAACATCTGATCATCCAGAGTCAGATGGTCAGACGGAACGTGCCAATCGTGTCCTTGAAGAGATACTTCGAGGATACGTACACTCCTTTAAGAGTTGGAGTGAGTTTTTGCCGATGGTAGAGTTTGCCATCAACAACTCGGTGCATGCGTCCACGACACATACACCGTTTTACGTGAATGGCTTGCGCCATCCGCGTGTACCCACCTTACTAGAGTGTAACTCTGGTTTAAGGGGGGAGGGACTCGCGCGAGCAAAAACCGATTTGGTTCACGCTCATCACGCTCTGACGAAGAAGTCATTGCGTTTGATGCCGATATCGATAACATCGATATCGAAGAAGATGATGCCAGTGAGAGTGCGGAAGCCCTCACTGAAGACAATGATCCCAGTGAGAGTGCGGAAGCCCTCACTGAAGAAAAGGTTGTTGTCGCTGCAGTGCGCTCACAGCACACTGAAGCTAACGAGTCATCAGATGAGTTCATACTGGCTCGTGAAACGGTAGTCCGTTTTGTGCAAGACTCCATCGCCGAAGCGGTGGATAAGCAAAAGCAAAACGCTGACAAGAATGGAAGGGCAAACACTCTTTTATTTAATAAAGGTGACTTAGTCCTACTGTCTACGGTTAATCTACCAAAACATGTAGTGACTAACTTGGGTAGCAGTAAACTACTACCCAAGTACATTGGCCCATTTCGTGTATTGCACCGCCTAGGCAATGCATACACGATCGAGTTACCACGTAAGATGCGAACGCATCCCACGTTTTACGTTGGTCGGCTTAAGCCGTACCATCAGTACGCTGCTTCTTCCGATGAAGAACGCCCTTGCGCTCAAGCATCTCGCAGAGAGCCTTGTGCTCCCGATGGTGGGCATCAACAAGGGTCTGAAGAGCAGTTATCTCAGCCCGAGACCGATCAACAATCCCACGAGCTACCCTTAGCTCGTCACGAAGAGATGTCAGAGATCTCTCGTTCTCAAGCTGAGCAAAGGCAAACTCAGCTCGATGCTTCGAGGCAGTGTCCGCCATTTGGAGACGCCTATTCCGCTCATGCTCGAGATCGTCGCGTAACCCTTGCGTTACGCGATCAAAGAAGCTCTCGGGAACACACCGATCCACATGATCGTGTGGAGAGCGTCTTTCCTCCTCCTCCACCTCCATTAGAGGACTCTCGCGGTGGCCAGCGCTATCTAGTAGAGCAGCTGTTGAACCACCGCGACGTGAACTGGACGTCGGACGAGTTACCTCGTCCGGTGGCGCGGCTATCCCCCGTCCTGGGATTCTTGGGAGCCCCGCTCCCAATTGATGGTTGACGTACTGGGTCTGGTCGAGCAGTACGACGCGACACATCCTGTGCCGCAGAAGGACCGCCGGAGAAAGTCTTCCCGGCACGGTCGTAAAGGGATTTCAGGTTGTCAATCCCTTCGTACATCTCAGTAGAGACACGTACGCGCCACCACGGGCTGGTAGAGGAGGTAAGCCTCCTTAGGTGCTCGTGCAGAGTTGTTCACACAACATGGGCACGAGTCTCCCCAAGAGAGGCAGGGTAATCCTTTCTCCCTTGACAGACGATGCAGCTTATAGCGTGCACCTGTCGGGGTTCGCTTTTCAAACTTATCACGAGCTTTGATAAGTTTGTCGTTCCAAGCGTCACGACCTACATCCTCGAGATTATGGATGTAGGCGTTCCACGCCTGAAGTAGTGAGGGACCATCACGTTTGTGATTCCCACTGTACCATCGATGTCTGAAGAAGGCATCGATGAAGAACTCATGTTCAGCGCGATAGTCTTTCGCGCTGGGGTCAAGGTGATGAATCCTTGACGAATCGAACAATCGTGTTCGATAACGATCACTCGTCGTCGCCGACAAGTGATCCATGACAGATTTAGGAGGCATCCATGCCTTCTTTTTTGGAGCGAGACGCAACACATTGCGGTCCCGCTCTTCCTGCGAAGTGCCGACAGAAGTACTGGCACCTCGCTGTGAAGTGGTGTCCATAGGAGAACCGAAACCACTGTGAGCGCCCGACTCTCGCGACCTCGAGCGCCTTCGCTTCGGCGATGGTTCATCTGATTCATCAGATGAACCAAAGATGCTGCGACGCAAAGCATCGTCCATGCCACGCTTGGCAGGCGGCTTGGATTCAATCGCCGTCGATACGGATCCGTCATCCGTATCAGGAGAGTACGAGACACCGAGCTCGTACTCTGTGAAGACATGCGTGTCTTCATGACCAGCGCCTGCATCACCAGGTGACACAGGCTGAGTCGATTCAGCAACCGATGGGACATCAGTTGCTGCGGTTTCTGCTTCGGCGTCCGCACAGAGACGTGCAGACGCGCTCTCGGCGGCCTTGCTCGCGCATCGCATGGGCTTGTTTACCATGCGATGAAATGTTGGAAAGTGGACGCGTACCAACAAGTGCAAACCCCGTCCCAAATGATTTGGGACGAGTATCCATTTAGTCAATCAGTCACTAAAGTGACTGATGGTTAAGGGGGGCGATGTAACGGGGTGAATCGTTACATAACAATTTATAAGAAATTGTTAATAGAATATAACTATAAGAGTTATATTCTCAGAATATTGTCATAAGGACAATATTCTGTAGCACTTCCAAGTAGTCCCAATTGGGTTTGAAGGGCCATATAAAATCAACCAACGAAGACGCGCCACGACAGACGCACGCAATGAGTGGTGAGCAGATAACTGATTCACACATTTGTATTTAGACATAGTTAGATGAAGATAAATAGTGATTTATTGCAGACATTAACTATTATAAATACAGTTCTACTTTTTACTCTAACCGAGTACTCGCTTCTTCTTACCGTCTTCCTCTGCACGTACGAGTGTACGTGAAGTTACGAGGCACCGCCTTATTCTGTTATCAGAATAAGTAGCTTGTACTGTCACCAGTACAAGCTTCAGGGTGCCCCGTTACAAAGTCGAATGAGCGTTGCGGAGAATGAACATCTATGCTTTGCCAGGACTGTATGTGCTACAGCTCGGACAGTTGGCTAAAAATGCATCAGAAGATGCTAGTCACGCCATATCTACCCCGCCCCGCTCTGAGCGATAATCTGTTGGCCGTCAACCTGCTCGAGCTGACAGTCGTTGCCTCTCCTTCCGAGCCATCTGGTGACCTTCTCTCCGTGCTTTGTCCTGTATTTTTGGCAGTCGCCGCAACGATTGCGTGTTGCGTGAACGCAACCTTCGTCTCTATCTCGACAATCCTCATCTGTAGTCTAGCCTTCAACGTTTGCAACGCTCTCATTCGTCACGAGAGAGGGTCGGCATCGAAACGTGGTCGGGTACACTCGCAGCTCAGACCCTCACATGTGACCTCATTTTCCAACTTCGGTCGTACAACCTACCCAACCCAACACAGACACCTCCACAACCAAGATGAAACTCAGCAACATTATCGGTGTGCTAGGCGTGGCTGCTTTGGCATTCTCGAGCAACACTGTGGATGCGTCGACGGCAGCTGCGCAGACGTTGGGACATCTGCGTCATCGATACCACCGACATGATCACAGTCACAGATATGGTCGGCGATCCGTCTACGATGACGATGACGACAGTAAGTGAGTGAGCTTCATTGAGGTACTTATTAGATCTCTAATGGCTAGGATGGGGGTTTACACCGCCAAGCTATGAAAAAAACAGGGGCTATACAGCTACCCTCCGACCGTAGGAAGCAACCGCCGAAAGAGCAGAAATACTTGGACCCGGGGTATGTGTTGGAGGAAATGCCTGCCACTCGTGCACGTCAGTGCGGAGAAACCGTTGCACTCTTGCAATCAGTGGTCGATTGTCAGTAGCGCACGTTTGCTGTGACGTTTTGGAGTCCATCGCAATATTCGCAGCCAAGTCTGCCATTTTGTTGTTCGCGCGGTAGTGATGAGACCATCCGCACATCTTCTCGCCTTGAGATAAAGCTGTCGGAGTCGAGGTTGACGCGGAGGCCGATGCCGCCGCATTTGCTGGATAATTAAAGAGCTGTCACCGACCACGTACAATGGTGTGAGATGTCTAGTTTCAGCGTGACGGAGGCCATGAATAAGCCCCCAATATTCCGCCATGTTGTTGGTTGTGCTGTTATGCGCATATGACATGCTCGCCGCCCAGGTAATCTCTGATGCTCGCGTGTCCAGATCAACACAGACCATGACCGAACCGGATCCGCCTGGACCGGGATTACCACGCGAGCCGCCATAAAAAAAGCACATAGGCGCTCCGGTCTCGAATCGATGGCGAGAGAATCGTCCCGTCAATCGTCCCCTTGAGGCAATCAGCCAGCGCCCTGGTAGCGGCATTCTTCGGAAGTTTTGAAATATCCGTGTCGAATTTATAAAACTCAATGAAACCAAATCGCGCAAGGCATTGTCTACTGTAACGCAAATTACCGCCCGCAATGTCGATTGAAGCGCATCTGGTTCGTGGCGGAGACGAAGTCGCGCACACCAGATGGCTTGAATTGTCGCCGCCACCGTCAGCCTCCACAAATCCCTGGAAACCTCGTACAAAACATCACGATGCTCGGCACCTGCAGCACGAACATGATCACATACCGTTCGCCACGCACGTGTCGGCGTATCGTCTAGGTCCAAACTGAAGCACGATTCAATAAGGTTAGCAGGCACGTTGTCGCCGAGACGCCTCCATCGAATGTCAAAGTCTTTCCATGCTGCCTTCGCAATAGGGCACTCCCAGAAGACGTGTTGAAGGCTAATAGGTACGTCTCGGGGACACTCGCCATGTGGACAAGAACGGTCACTGTGCACATAGTTCCATAAATTCAGCTTGTTGGCCTTCAATCGAAAAAGTGTCTGGACCGTAGAAGCCCCAGCTCCCTTCACTGCCCGAATGTCACGCCAATCCAGCTGGGATAGTGCATCATGCAGGTCCTTATTATCTGTAGCTTGAACAGCGATTGCCCGATCTCTCTCCACAGTCCCCTGTGCCACACGCTGCCCGGACACAGCCTCCTTGTACCTCGCCCGTTTAAAACGCCAAATAGCCCCAGTGTGAAGCTGCACAAGTCGCGACAATGCAGGATGATCATGAAAGCGGAAGTCCCGCTGATTGATGTCTGCACGGGCTCGGAGTTCACAGTCGTACCGCGACTGGACTGGGACTGATGTATACACGATCGTGTTGATCGAGAAGACAATGCTCTTTGCAGTTTCAGAATCAAGAGCTATGGTGAGCGCGGTTGAAGGAAAAGCGTGGGATAATTGCACACAATCGCCTTGCACAGGACCGAGACCGCACGCCGAATTGCCGGTGACCGTGAACGCTGAAGCTCGAGCTTGATGGTTCCATCCCCGTGCCATATCCAAGTCAGGAAATCACGAAGCGTTTGCCACTGTTCTCCACGCCGCAGGAGAGGTATATTGACGTCCTCTCCCCGTCCATTGATCAACCATTGCCTCGTATCGAGTCTTACCCGACCTAGCCACTCGTGGCAGAAAGTTCCACTTATGCACTGCTCGCCGACCGCTTTACTTGCAATGGCTTGTACCGTGGCAGTATCGATACGAAATGTTAACGTATCGCCCTCCCAGTAGGCAGCTGAAATATGCCGACGCAAGAGAGACTCAGTTGCTGCAACACATCCAGCCTTAGACAAATCAATAGGGACGCTATGCACACCACGAACCACAGCTGCTCCGCTGGCCCACATGGTGTCGGAGACCGTAAAAAACTTAGGGGTTGTGCATGGCTTATCCGGAGTAAGGTACACATCAACTCCAGCTCTCCTTGCCAGCAATATGTCACCCGCGACTCGAGCTGGCCCATTCGAAAAAGATGCCCATTTACCGACCGCATTGGCCGCCATAGCAAGCAGCTCCGTTGCTACATGTGGGATAGCAATCCCCCCATCACACACACGTAAACCGGCCTGTGCTTCACTCATCCACGCTCGAGATGGCACACCTTGTCGCGATCCCCAGACAAAACGCTTAACCAAAAGCTGTAACGAGTCGATAACCTCACGGGTAGGCCACGAGTGTCTCGCGAGAAACGTGACCCTAGGAATGATTAAAGCCGAGGCTAATAGAGCTCGGCTCCTGACCGTGTTTGTCTTTCGTCTGGCTAGCACAAGCCGAGCATTGAGTGAGACTAGGCATGCACTCCAGTTGTCCCGAACCGTCCGTCCATCCCCAATTAAAACGCCAAGATACCTGCACCTCTCGCCCGCCTGTAACAGCTTAACACCGTGCAAAAGTGTGGGGTCAATGCTCACACCGGCACACAGAGGAACCGCCCACAGACTTCGAAGCATTAATGACCAGCCCAGAAGCCGCCCCAAATCGCATTAGAGTCCGCATGACCACAGACAATTCCTCCGGGGACTGAACGTACACAGCAGTATCATCCCCGTACCCGCATACCTTGATCTCCAGTGTCTCCGACGTGTTTGCGATCCGAACACCCTTCACCGTGCTATGTAGTATCTCGTAAAGAGGTTCCACCGCAATGATAAAAAGCAAGGGTGCCAGCGGGCAACCCTGGCGTATACCACACCCGACATCAAGAGGATCGGACATGTAGCCGTTTACGATAAATTGGCTTCTTGTACCCGTGTGAAGAGCCGAGGTGAGATGAACAAACGATGCCGGGAAGCCGAGTCGGCTCATCACGGCGAGAAGAAAATTGCGTGAAAGCGAATCATACGCCTTTGAGAAATCCAACAGCAACACGAGCGAGCGGTGCAATTCGGGAATCATTACTTGCACACAAAGTAGCAGCAGCGAAGATATCAAGTACCGTCGCCATCTCTCTTCGAGGTACAAAACCAGTTTGGAGAGGATTTACTAGAGTTGGTAGCAGCGGTCTGAGGCGGGACGCGTAAATCCGTGTGAAGACTTTGTAGTCCGAGTTTAACAGAGATATCGGTCGATAGTCAAGTGGTGATGCCGCACTCCTCGACTTCTTTATGCACGCCACTACAGCTTGACCGAACGTGCCCGGCAAGATGCCGCCAAGTGCGCACACGTTAAATACCCTTGTCAGTAGAGGTACAAGGTATGCCTCATTGTCGCGGTACCAGTCGTTACCAAGCGAATCCGGTCCCCACGCCTTACCCCTTTTGCAGCGACGAATAGATGTTAGCACCTCAGCTGCTGTTAATTCGTCGCTGAGAACCGAAAGTTCGGGACCATGGTTCCGCGGAGGAAGCGAGTCGAGGAAATCAGTGACGATCGCTTCATCGGGAGGCGTTTGTTGCATGTAGGCGCGCCAGCCCTCACGCATATCCTGTGCAAGATCACGTGCCCGATGATGGCCGAGGCCAGTAGGACCCCGTAGGCTGTACACCGTATTATCGACAAACTTGGTCGACACTCTGCGGTAGAATTTTTTTTGTGACCGTGCCGGATGGTGTGCATGGGACCGAAAAAGCGATTGACGTTTCATCTTCTGCCACTTGGCTTTGCAATCTACTACCGCACGTCGGGCTTGGATGACCGATTGAGACGGATCAGCACCCGGACCAGGGGTTTCTCGGATCGCGGTCGCCAGACGGGCGGTAAGCCGCTTTAGGCGCTGTCGGTAGCCGGTCGTAGATTTTCGGCGAGCATCCTTGGCCGCATCGGAGTATCTCTGTCGCAGTCCAGCTTTTTCAGCATCCCACCATATGGCCGTTGCCCGGGCTTGTTCCGTAACGGTGTCTGCTGTTGCGATGACGCCTTCAAGGGTCCCGGATGCACGTTGGAAAAAGTCCGTCGTCACCAACTCGTACTCTCGCACAGCGTACCTAGGCGGCGGGTACAACTGCCTTCGCGACTTCACCTGCACAGTCCGTCCAGGAACTGCCACGCGTATTGAAACACCGTTGTGATCGGAGAAAGGACCAGGAATAGACGTACCGATTGCGCGTACCCATTCTCCGTCGACGGCCGAGCAGTACCACCGGTCAAGTCGACAGCTTGCCTCTCGCCCACCCGGCATCGTATAGAAATACGTGTGATGTTTGACTCGCCAATCAATGTACGAATCGTGGTCGTCGATGTCGTCATCCAAAACATCAGTTAAGCCGCCGCAATCTAGAAGGCGGCGCAGTGCCGGAGAGTCATGGCTGTTCCAGCGAGACGTGTAAGACCGATCGCGAGAATCTAAAAGCGTGCAATTGAAATTGCCGCAAAGAAACACCGGACTATCGACACTGGATACCACGTGTTCGAGCGATTGAAACAGCTTCTACCGCTCGGACCTCAGCACGGGCGCGTACACAATAATAATCGTAAACTCTCGATCTCCCAGAATTGCAGTCGCAGCCTTCCAGTGAGCGGTCCAGTGCTCCATCTGGAATGCCTGCAGTGAAGATATCCGACTGTACGGGCGTAAAAGAATAGCGAGACCGCCGGACCGTCCCACGCTCGGACTCCATAGCGAGAACTGATTTTCACCATCAGCGACAAAGCCCCAAGATAGAAGATGCAGCTCCGTCACCGCTGCCGTACCATTCACAGGCACCCTAGTCTCCTGAAGGCACGTGATGTCCAGCATGCCATCTTGCACAGTTTGACGAAAATGCGTAAACCAGCGACTTTGCCGTTCGTTTTCGGCTCCCAGACCCATAACATTTTGTGTAAGAAGACCACATGACAGATCATGGGCTGACCCGCGTCTGCGTGTCACGCGTTTTTTTCGAGCAAGCTGTGAGCACGCTCGTCCTGACACCGAGAAGCCCTTAGGAACGACGCACGGCTGTGCCGCGCCCAATTTCACAGATGCCAAGCACATCGACCAGCGATCCAGACTGAATCACGGTGTCAGCGACCTTACTGATCTCGTTATCGTGCTCGTACACCCGTTCACACGTGTCGGGGAGCACCAGGCCACAGTCCGGCTGCTTTGGAAATCTACTGGGACAGAGGATACTCAGCAGGGAAATAATAGAGCTGAGTGGGTCTTCCAGGGCAGGTGCTGTGACACCCGTAAGTAAATCGCTGTCGAAACACTTCACTTCTCTCCACTACTCCTCTGAATTTGTTAATTTCCAGCGGCAAGCAATTATTCCCAGAGAGCGAATTGCGATAGCACGCCGCTGACACATAGAGCGGAGACGAACTTCTAAGTTCTGGTCCATCGAATGATGGTCGATCAGCGCAAGCTGAGAACTGCAGCAAATGGATTGACCAAATTTAAACAGCTCTGATCGTCCCCATGTGTAAAGCTCCATGAGTGGGTACGGTAGCGAAGTGATCAGTGATACCAACTGAGAGGAATATTGTTCAATCCAGATCGAAAATGTTTCACCATTCGCTGGTAGTACTGGTGTCGACGATGTCCGTCGCCTCCACGTCGTGATAGCGATGCCGTTCTGTCTTTTTTGGCGATTGCGCTCTGAAACCTCCTCACTCGTCAGCCGCACGCAGGGTGATGTCGGCTGCAGTAACTTAGCAACTTCAACGACCATACCGGATGCAACTGGTTGTGGGCAGCCCAACCTCGGTGCGGGCATCACCCGTGCTTTGTGCCTACGAGAGGACGCAAGCGTAGCGGCATGATCATCCGCCTCGCGTTGAACCGCAGCGACCGCGTTCCACGCTTCCACGGCATCCGGTGAAGGTGATTGAGTACGTGGAATGGCCGGCAGCGGACCAGCCATGACACGATCCTGACTGTCTATGGGTAAAATTGAATCAGTGTCCTGCGCTGCAAGCACTGCTTCCAAACCAGGAGGGAGAGGGGAGGCCATGTGAGAATTGATCGCAGTCGTGTCGGGGCCATCTGTGCAACAACGTGTCCTGCAGACATTCGGAGAGGCGGTAGAGGGAGGCACCGATGCCTCAAGCTCATCGATATCCATAGTGGCGGCAAGCGACGACGGTGATGGACCACCTCCGTCCGATCTTGCCCATCAACCGCTGTCGAAGGTGGTACCTCGAATACCGTCGACACAGCGTGCTCGCCAACCACAAAAAGAGCGGGTAAATCAGCAGTGGCCATATCGCGTGCATCGCTATCATTTTCATTGACAACCGTGGACGTCGCTCCTTCAGAGGATGCTCCAGGAGCAGCTGGTACTGCAGCAGGGGCCACTTCACAACTTTTTAAGCTTACGTGCTGACCCGATACCGGTTGAGGCACCGACGTCGGCAGCGAGTCAGCTGCCACCCCACGACTCGCAGACCTTGCGACGGGACACGAGCCTTCAAACTGTTGAACCGCTGCCGCACGAGCAGCCGCAGCCATAGCAGCAGCCTTCTTAACCGTCGCGAAATGATTCGTAGCCGCTTTCAGCTTTGAACGACGAATAGCAAGTAGTTCTGCTGTCACCTCAGCCTTAGCCTCCACTCGCGCTGCCACTTCTCTCTTGTGAATGACTGTTTTTTGCCGCTTAGGTGCCCCCTCCATCATGGAAGCTCGGCGAAGTTTGTCGCCAAGCCCAGGCGCCACCTTTTGACGTAGAATTTCAGTTGCCTTGATCCATCCATCCGCGTGAGTCAATGACGTATGGGATGTTACCGAGGCCGTTGCAGATAGAGTATAGCTTGCACATGTACTATCGGGATCCACAGCCGCACAGTCCTTACGGAAATGTCGAACGCTGATACACCGCTGGCACGGCTCGCGGGTACTCTTCCGCGGGTGCATGAGTACCGCCTCGATACTCTTATCGACGGTCGTCACTAAAATCCTGTGCTTCCGGTCCAGTTCTTTAGGGCATTCCATGGAATCAAAAGTGACGACCCAGCGATGCGCGCCGAAGAAATGGGCACCATCGGCCTCCCGCGACTTGACAGTGAGCACGGGTGTCGACGTCGCGGCTGCGACCCATGATCGGATCTCGCTCGGAAATGCCGAGCTCTTGCCGAGCACATGCACCTGATAGAGCATTGAAGTCGTAATGCCCGTATAGCCAATCTTGTCGTCCACCGTAGCTGGGTCATCAGCTACGAGAAGTTGGAGCCGACAATTACCCACCCGAAGGTCCGCCTTCGCCCATGAATCTCGCGTAGGGCGATCGTTTAAGACGAAAGCCACAATAGGTGACAGGCGTGAACACTCAACGCGCGAAAGCTCCATGATGAGCGAGTTGACACGAGTTTTTGCCGCTATAGTCACAGCAGCTGCAAGCATCAGGCTAAATAATTTTCCCCGCGCGCCTAGATCAGGAAGGAAAAGGCCGACCGGAAGGCGAGCATAAAGCTTGTGCACAAGGCGAGAGCGCTGGTGGACAGCAAAAGTCTCTCGCTCGGCCGCCACATGAGTCTCCCTGAGGAATAGAGGCGCTCCAGCAAGCTGTAGATGGCCTCCAAGCCAAGCCTCAAGAGTTTCCACCTCAATTGGCGTCATCCTGCGCTGAAACCCGTCCTTTCGAAGACGGCACCGCTTTCGCGCGCACTCGTAAAGACGAAGGTTAACATCGTTGACATACGGCGAGGGTTGAGAGCCCGCAGCTTTTCTCAACTCATCGACTGTGTTACCCGTCCAAGCGGACGGGCTTGGCATCATTGGCCGCGCATCTTGAAAAATACGTGGCGGCGATCTTGGGGCAGTTGGGGTATCATCATCCTCGTTGTCCGGCGCAAAAACGGTACCACCGTCCCCTACCTGCTGCAAGGGAGGCTCGCTCTGTAGAGATGACATGGACACATCGGCTACACCAGGATCCATCCCTACATCCCTCACCGAATCAAGAATGGTGCCGTCCGAGGCGTGAACAGAGTCCATCCGCTCGCCGTCGGGATGTGGGTCACTAGGAGGAACCACGGTCGCCGCCTCAGCAGCAGCCCCATTCGGTGGACCTTCCGCTCCACGTCCGACTTGCTTGCCACTAAATGCACCAGTTAAGGGCCTGGGCGGGCGGCGACTACGCGCTCCGCGGTCGCGGCCGTCCTCCATAAAGGATACGTCGACTTGATTGGTGGAAAAAGCGATCTTTTTTTTGTCGCCACCGAATCACGTTCTCGAGTTAACTGTGCGTCCGACAGCAAATTCGAAAGTGTGATGACGACAGTGACAGCTCCGACGATGGAAGGAGAGGTTATAGCAATCAGTATGGCCGCAGGAACGACGACGTCGACAGTCGCGATGACTACAACTCGGGCGGCAACCGCAACCAGCGTGGCTATGAAGGTGCAACAGCAAAGTTGAACAATTACGGTTCACCCGCTAACAGCGGTGCGACTGCCAGTGCTGGTGCCAACGTCAGTAATGGTGGAGCTGGTGTACCTGCCACTGTGGCAGCCACTGCAGGCGCCCGTTCGAACGCAGGTCCCGGTGTAAACCAAGGAGTTGGAGCGAATGCGGAGGCAAGCAGCAACGCTGCCAACGGGTACAGTACCGGCGGAGCTGTTCCGAAAGATGTGTACGCCCAGTAGACTCTGCAGGCGACCGTGCAGACCGGTGGCCTCCACCGCTTGCTCTCGTAAGCGAGCTTCGAGCTTCTTGTCTGAGGAGTAACAATCGCACGCTCGTGGTCTGAGCTGTACCATGTTTGGTTTGTAGGACGCTTGAAGCAGCTGAGATCACCTTAGCACGACCCAAGTCAAACAGTGCCCCAAGTCTGGCAAGCGTGGTGTGCTTTCCGATTGGGGTACCGTCGTAGTTGTACATGTAGTTTTGATAAACACAAATGTTGTCAGTGAACACAAACGCGATACGATCATTTCGTGCCATTTTTGTCCCGCTTTCGCTTCCTCCTCGCGTTTCAGCCAAGTGCGGGGGCTCCATTCTGCTGCTCGCGTCGACACTTTAATACGTATGCGCATGTGTGGAGACATACGAACGCAACGCAAGATTTCCACTTGTCAACACATTGGAAATGGATGGAAAGTGGAGACGTAAGGCTGATTGAATTGAGCGAGGACTTACAGCGCCAGCTGCTGCTATGCGAGATGACATCTAATGTGGTGGTGGTTGTGTCGTCACTAGGCCTCCAAGCATCAAAGCAACATGCGGCGATCTTGAGCTTGTCCAACGCATCGAACGTTCGATGCTGTGCCGATGTGCAAGTGCATAGTGGAGCTCACAACACGGTGAAAGTACTCGCACATGACGCTTCAATGAGTCACATCAGACCCCATTACGCCGCCACATTCGTGTGTGGCGAGAGCCGTGCTCGGTTCGAATTGTTGCTGAAGTCGTAGGTAAGCAAGTTGGAAGCCATGCAAGCTCAGTCCTCCAAATGTACTCGAATATGACGCCCGCGCTCGACGGCGTGCCCATTCATGCTGTCAATTTCGATGGCTTCAACAATTTCAGATCAAACGAAGTACTTGGCAAGTTATACGGATCAGTCATTTTACTTTCGTGACCTACCAACATGCAATGCACTTTGAAATGAGCTAAGGCACATACTACATTCTACCACTCAGTCGCTCTGTGTCCATGCTCATGCGTGATGTTGTCCTTACCATTATCGTGCAAAGAACATGAGAGGCTCATAGCAACAACCTACGAACCGCAGTATGTTGTGCTCGTGCTCGGCTTCAGCCTGAGGAGGATGTCTCTACCTCAGCCACCCTGCTAGCGATCACTGATGGAACTGTTGTACGGTGAGCCATGCATCTCCGGCAAATCGTCCGTGACTTCGCGGGCGCATGAATACCACGGTTTCAGATTCTGTTGGCACTGGCAATAGAAGTTGATGAAAGTACGGATCAAGCGTGCTGAAAAGTGTTTACGTTCATCATCAGCGCAAAAGAGTCTATTTGCTTTGTTCACGTGGTAGGTCACGGGGAATGCAGGACCTGGAGGGAATAGATCTGCGCTAGTGCAGCTAGATACCGAAATCGACGCATGTGAGGTTTGTTAGACGTCGTAAAGCCGCGTCACCACAACCAACGACGCGGCCAAACACGGGGACACCATCCATGACCTTTGTCGAACGTCGGACCCTGTGCTATAAAGTCGCCCATGGATTCACGTGTGCTGCACTCCTCTACACGTGATTCCATGGGCAGCTTTTATGATCATGCCAATAGCGACAACGCCATCTACCCGACCAACTGAGGCCTCGGCTTCTACAAAACATCGCTAGTCGATGTGCGGACGACTCTGACGAACTGAGCTGGACATATCACAACCGGGATCACAACAAGATGGTGGATTGAGCCGCCAACATCCGATGGACTCGAGTCGTTTCGTATCGACGAATGCCGCGGACGGCAGATCAATCCTTTCAGATCTCACACGTTTCCCTAACAACAACGTCCAGCAATGAACATGCACATATTAGGCGGCGCAACGAATTACCGCAGTGGACTGTGCCATGTTCGATGGAACGAGTTATCCACCACAACTCACATGGAAGTTGGTACAACCCTGACCGACCGCTGTCACCCGCAGCTGTTGACCGCACCGGTTTTCAAACCTCACCTGGCGTAAAGGGCAGCGCAGCACATTCGGCGATTCGAGATCTTCCGAAGCAGCTTGATGTACCTCACCATACAATACAAAACAAATCAAAACTAGACAAACAAAAACAAAGAACATAGCAACATGTGCTCGCTCGGTCTGTTTACTGCTGCTGCAAACGTTTGTATCTCTACAAACTACTGACACCGCGCATCTGTTGCCGCACGCCATGATGACCACCCTCCCGAGTGTGTAATAATCAGCTTCTGACAAACAGCTTGGCTGATGATTGCCGAAATACAGCACTCTACCTTGGTGCTTCCCCCCCGGGGGAAGGATGGAGCAAGTCGAATGAGCGTTGCGGAGAATGAACATCTATGCTTTGCCAGGACTCTGTATGTGCTACAGCTCGGACGGTTGGCTAAAAATGCATCATAAGAATGCTAGTCACGCCATATCTACCCCGCCCCGCTTTGAGCGATAATCTGTTGGCTGTCAACCTGCTCGAGCTGACAGTCGTTGCCTCTCCTTCCGAGCCATCTGGTGACCTTCTCCCTGTGCTTTATCCTGCATTTTTGGCAGTCGCCGCAACGATTGCGTATTGCGTAAACGCAACCTTCGTCTCTATCTCGACGATCCTCATCTGTAGTCTAGCCTTCATCGTTTGCAACGCTCTCTTCGTCACGAGAGAGGGTCGGCATCGAAACGTGGTCGGGTACACTCGCAGCGCTCAGACCCTCACATGTGACCTCATTTTCCAACTTCGGTCGTACAACCTACCCAACCCAACACAGACACCTCCACAACCAAGATGAAACTCAGCAACATGATCGGTGTGCTAGGCGTGGCTGCTTTGGCATTCTCGAGCAACACTGTGGATGCGTCAACGGCAGCTGCGCAGACGTCGGGACACCTGCGTCATCGATACCACCGACATGACCACAGTCACAGATATGGCCGGCGATCCGTCTACGATGACGACGACGACAGTGACAGCTCCGACGATGGAAGGAGAGGTAATCGCAATCAGTATGGCCGCAGGAACGACGACGTCGACAGTCGCGATGACTACAACTCGGGCGGCAACCGCAACCAACGTGGCTATGGAGGTGCAACAGCAAAGTTGAACAATTACGGTTCACCCGCTAACAGCGGTGCGACTGCCAGTGCTGGTGCCAACGTCAGTAATGGTGGAGCTGGTGTACCTGCCACTGCGGCAGCCACTGCAGGTGCCCGTTCGAACGCAGGTCCCGGTGTAAGCCGAGGAGTTGGAGCGAATGCGGAGGCAAGCGGCAACGCTGCCAACGGGTACAGTACCGGCGGAGCTGTTCCGAAAGATGTGTACGCCCAGTAGACTCTGCAGGCGACCGTGCAGACCGGTGGCCTCCACCGCTTGCTCTCGTAAGCGAGCTTCGAGCTTCTTGTCTGAGGAGTAATAAGCGCACGCTCGTGGTCTGAGCTGTACCATGTTTGGTCTATAGGACGCTTGAAGCAGCTGAGATCACCTTAGCACGACCCAAGTCAAACAGTGCCCCAAGTCTGGCAAGCGTGGCGTGCTTTCCGTTGGGGTACCGTCGTAGTTGTACATGTAGTTTTGATAAACACAAATGTTGTCAGTGAACACAAACGCGATACGATCATTTCGTGCCATTTTTGTCCCGCTTTTGCTTCCTCCTCGCGTTTCAGCCAAGTGCGGGGGGCTCCATTCTGCTGCTCGCGTCGACACTTTAATACGTATGCGCATGTGTGGAGACATACGAACGCAACGCAAGATTTCCACTTGTCAACACATTGGAAATGGATGGAAAGTGGAGACGTAAGGCTGATTGAATTGAGCGAGGACTTACAGCGCCAGCTGCTGCTATGCGAGATGACATCTAATGTGGTGGTGGTTGTGTCGTCACTAGGCCTCCAAGCATCAAAGCAACATGCGGCGATCTTGAGCTTGTCCAACGCATCAAACGCTCGATGCTGTGCCGATGTGCAAGTGCATAGTGGAGCTCACAACACGGTGAAAGTACTCGCACATGACGCTTCAATGAGTCACATCAGACCCCATTACGCCGCCACATTCGTGTGTTGCGAGCGCCGTGCTCGGTTCGTATTGTTGCTGAAGTCGTGGGTAAGCAAGTTGGAAGCCATGCAAGCTCAGTCCTCCAAATGTACTAGACTATGACGCCCGAGCTCGACGGCGTGCCCATTCGTGCTGTCAATTTCGATGGCTTCAACAATTTCAGATCAAACGAAGTACTTGGCAAGTTATACGGATCAGTCATTTTACTTTCGTGACCTACCAACATGCAATGCACTTTGAAATGAGCTAAGGCACATACTACATTCTACCACTCGGTCGCTCTGTGTCCCCGCTCATGCGTGATGTTGTCCTTACCGTTATCGTGCAAAGAACATGAGAGGCTCATAGCAACAACCTACGAACCGCAGTATGGTGTGCTCGTGCTCGGCTTCGTCCTGAGGAGAATGTCTCTACCTCAGCCACTCTGCAAGCGATCACTGATAGAACTGTTGTACGGTGAGCCATGCATCTCCGGCAAATCGTCCGTGACTTCGCGGGCGCATGAATACCACGGTTTCGTATTCTGTTGGCACTGGCAATAGAAGTTGATGAAAGTACGGATCGAGCGTGCTGAAAAGTGTTTACGTTCATCATCAGCGCAAAAGAGTCTACTTGCTTTGTTCACGTGGTAGGTCACGGGGAATGCAAGACCTGAAGGGAATAGATCTGCGCTAGTGCAGCTAGATACCGAAATCGACGCATGTGAGGTTTGTTAGGCGTCGTAAAGCCGCGTCACCACAACTAACGACACGGCCGAAGACGGGGACACCGTCCACGACCTTTGTCGAACGTCGGACCCTGTTTGCACTCCACTGCACGTGATTCCATGGGCAGCTTTATGATCATGCCAACAGCGACAACACCATCTACCCGACCAACTGAGGCCTCGGCTACTACAAAACATCGCTAGACGATGTGCGGATAGCTCTGACGAACGTAGCTGGACACATCACAACCGGGAGCACAACAAGATGGTGGATTGAGCCGCCAACATCCGATGGACTCGAATCGTTTCGTATCTACGAAAACCGCGGACGGCAGATCAATCCTTTCAGATCTCAC